TTCTGCTTTCTGCCATGATAGAGAAACAGGAACTGAACTTGCTGTCTTCCTTAAAAAACTAAATAACTGGACAAAATATTTGAAACATCAGTTTCAGACATTGAACAACAGGGAGCATAGGACAATGATCTTTGAAGGGAAACAAAAGAGATAAGCTCCATGGTTGCCCCAGCTTACTGCCTAGAGAGAATATCCAGGCAGTAGCACAGGAAGGGGGAAACTAAGCAGAGTCCTGGAGTTTCCTTGAGTTGAGGAGACAGAGTTGAGAATTCGAGAAAACTCAGTAGCTAGAGTTTGCAGAGGAAAGTACCACAGAGGTTAATGCAGAGAGAGAGAAAGAGAGAGAGAGATCAAAGATCTGAAGAGGGTTGCCAGCTGAGTACTGATATGAGGAAACTATCAAGCCTGGGAGAATGAACCACCAAAAAATGACTGCTGAAACTCACACAGGACTGATAATAGTTTACATTCTCATCTCAAAAACCAGAGCGAAGAAACTTCAAAATCAGGGCATCAGGTAGAGTACTCAGAGGGCTATTGCCTCAGTAATAATGGGATCAAATTTATCTTAAATTAAAAGCTGCTCTAGTCTTACCTAAGAAAGTTTGAAAACAAGCCTCAAATGAATCAAATTAATTACTTAACTGTATATCCCCCAAAATATTTAAAAGACAACAAAAAATCTAGCACCCAATAAGATAAAATTCACAGTGTTTGATATCGAACCGAAGCATGCAAAGAAGAAAACATAACCAATATTGAAAAGAAAAATCAATCAATAGAAAGAAACCTAGAAAAGAAACAGATAATACAATTAATATACAAAGACATTAAAACAGCTATTATAAATGTTGAAGCTACTTGACTTACAATGGGGTTACATCCTGATAAACTCATCATAAGTTGAAAATATTGTAAGTCAAAAATGCATTTAATACATTTAACCTACAGAACCTCACAGTTTACCCTAGCCTATCTTAAACATGTTTAAAACACTTAAATTAGGCTACAGTTGGCCAAAATCATCTAACACAATGAATACACTGTAGAGTATTGGTTGTTAGCTATCATGATCATGTGGCTGACTAGGAGATGAGGCTCCCTGCCACTGCCCAGCATCACAAGAGAGTATTATAGCACCTTTCACTAGCCTAGGAAAAGATTAAAATTCAAAATTCAAACTATTGTTTCTAGTGAATGTGTATCACTTTCACACCATTATGTAGCTGAAAAAATCACAAGTCAGGGACTGTCTGTACTCTATATTTCCAAAACGATAGAGGAAAGATGAGCATGGTAAGTAGGGACATGAAAGATATAAAAAAAGACCCAAATCAAACTTGTACTGATGGAAAAATACAATGTGTGAAATGAAAAATACATTCAATGGGATTACTGCAGATTATGCACTGAAGAAGAAAAGACTGGTGAGTTTAAAGATATAGCAAAAAAAAACTATCCAAAATGAAACACACAGAAGAAAAAAGACTGAAAAAATTGAACAAAGCATCAGTGAGCTATGGAACACCTTTCAGGAAGCCTAAAATATACATTAAATTTGAGCTCCAAAAGGAGGAGGGAAACAGAAAAAATATTTGACTAAGTGGCTGAATTTTTTTATAGATTATGCAATAAGCTCAACAAACATCGAGCAGAAGAAAATGTGAAGAAAACTACACCAAAGCACATCATAATCAATATGTTAGAACCAATAATTTTTTAAAAAATCTTAAAGCATTCAGAGATAAAAACATACATTTTATATAGAGAAACAAATATAAGAATGACAGTATAATACAATTGAGAAGTCAGTGGAGCAATATCTTTACATGAATAAAAGGAAAAAACCTGTCAACCTAAAATTCTATAATCAGCAAAATACCATTTAGTAACAGAGTTTTGACACATATGAAGCAAAAACGGATAGAACTGCAATGAGAAATAAACAAATACATGGTTATAGTAAGAGGTTTCCTACGGCCATGCCACCCTGAATGTGTCCGATCCCGTCTGATCTCGGAAGCTAAACAGGGTCAGGCCTGGTTAGTACTTGGATGGGAGACCATCTAGAAAGACCAGGTGCTGTAGGCGTTAAAAAAAAAAAAAGATAAAGAAAAAGAAGTTTCAACATCTCTCCCAACAACTGATAAAACAAGTAGGTGAAAAATCAGGAAGCCTTTGGAAGACTTAAACAACTCTATCACCAATGTGACCTAAGCGACACACAAAACATTTATCAAAATAGACCATATTCTGGGCCATAAAACAAGTCTCAATATCTTTTAAAAGATTCAATAATATGAAGTATGTTCTATGACCACAATAAAATTAAATCAGTAGTCAACAACAGAAAAATATTTCAAAAATGCCCAAATATTTGGAAACCAAGTAACATACTTCTAAATAACTCATGGGTCAAAAATAAAAATCAGAAATTACAACACATGCTCCTTAATCTACAGTTCAATTCAGAGAAATAAATTTACCCTCAAATGTTACTTTATCACACTTCTTCAAATCCTTTCTATTTTTTCTATTTAGTCATCATGCAGAAGCAATCTTGTCATGATATCTTTAAGGTTTAATATGTGTATTTTATTTCTAGAGATCTATTTTCCTGTCCCTACTGAGAAGTACCGTTTTATAGTGAGTCATCCTTGTAAATTGAATTGCAGAAGACTGAAACCCAACTCAGACTAGTGTAAGTAAAAAGGATTTATTGAAAGCATCCTAGAATAGCTCACAGAATTGAGGAAAGCCATATATATTAGTTTCCTATTGCTGCTGTACCAAATTACCATAAACTCAGTGGCTCAAAACAACATATATCTATTATCCTACAGTTTTGGAGGTCAGAAGTGAAAAAGAGTCTCATGGGGCTAAAATCAAGGTGTTGGCAGGCTGTATTCCTTCTAGAAGCTCTAGGAGAGAATCCGTTTCCTCAACTTTTCTAGCTTTTAGAGGCTGCCCGCATTCCTTGACTTGTGGTCCACTTCGTCTATCTTCAAATCCAGCGATGTTGGGCTGAGTCTTTCACACACTGCTATCTCTCTGGCCTACCTAGTATAATCTACAATAGTCTCCCCATTTCGAGGTCAACTGATTAGCAAACTTAATTCTAACTGTAAACTTAATTCCCCTTTGCCATGTAAGGTAACATACTCACAGGGTTCCAGAGAATAAGTCATGGATCTCTTTTGGGGCCATTATTCTGCCTACCATACCACGTAGACTACTTGAAATTAGAAATGTGCCATTCAATGTCATTTGTAATAAGGATAGGCAGGTGTATAGTCTGTTTCAGAAGGCAGCTTTTGGCAACTTTGCTGAAAAATTAACTTTGTATCCTCAGGATGTCTTTAGAACTGCAGAAAGAAGTAAGTGTATGAGCACTTCCAGATCCTTTTTAGGAGCACTCAAATGGCGGGCCCACTTATCTTAGAATTGTCTTGTTATCAGCAAACTTAATTTTGACAAAGAATGGGCTCATGCTATTTCTTGTCCCTTTAAAATTTATGAAACAATGAAATAAGCCAATTGATACAAAAGCAATTTTCAAATAAATGTGCTAATAGAAGACACTTTTTTACTCGTGTTTAATTTGGGCCTTTTTGAGGTACCCAGCCAGTGCCACAGTTCTTTATTCTACTCAGGAAAAGCTTTAGTATAGTCTCACAACATCTATGGTTCAATGAAGTCTTTCCATCCTCGTTGCCTGTCTCCTGGAGAACTGAATCAGACAGCTGAGATTAAAGACAACTTCTCTTTCCAAGTAAAGATCTCATCTCCCAATTGCTACTTCACCCTTCCCTTGTTTCCATACAACAGGATTTAGGAGGAGGTCTCCCACTCCTACTTACTATTCACAGGGTGATTCTAGAAATTCTAAATTTTCTTCTTCCCAAAGTTACTTCGTGCTCAGCTTTCCAGTCTCAGAACCAGTTCCCCTTATTCAGTGGTGGTTCAGTCACTCGGCTTGCATTCTTCTACTCAAACTTAAGTTCTGTCATTATCTTTGATCTGCTTTTCTCCAGTGACCTTTGCCTCCATTCAGTTTTATACATTCCCATCCATGGTTACACCCTAGATCTTGCTGTCACTGAGAGCTGCTATCTGACAATAATAGATTCCAACTTCCCACTTTCTGGCCATAGCATTCTATTCTTTCAGTTCCCTCATTTAGTTACTCTCCCAGCCCCTGTTTTAGTCTAACTGCTGTAATAAACAAATTAAAATCTCAGCACTTATATTAGTTAGCCATTGCTATCTAATAAACTACCCTAAAATTTATTAGGTTAAAACAACAACCATTCATTATGAAGTGTAGATTTGTGGGTCAGCTGGAGTTTAGCTAATTTAGACTGGGCTTATGGCAATGGAGAGTCAAATGAGTACAATCAGAAGCACAAGCAATGTCTTCAGGCCTGGGTACACTGTCAGTTACTTCCATGCTATTGGCCAAAGCAAGTCACAAGGTCAAGCCCAAAGTCAAGGGGCCAGGAAGTACAAAGGGCCATGGCGAAGTGTGGACACAGGGAGGGTGGGAGCATTGGGGCCAGTAATTTAATCAATCACAAGACCTTAACATAATAAAATATTTTTCTCCTTCATTTCATAGTCCAGTGTGGTCAGGAGGGGAAGTCTGCTCTACCCAGTCATTCAGCAACTCAGCCTCCTTCTATTGTGTGTCTCATCCATCTCCTTTGGCTTTACCTTTCTCTGTAATCAACTGGCAGGTATGGTCAGAGAGACAAAGAGTATATAATCATTATGGTAGGCTGACTAATGGCCCCTAAAGATGTCCCCATTCTAATCTCCAGAATCTGTGATTGTTACCTTACATTGCAGATGGGTCTTGAGATAAAGAGATTATCCTGGATTATCTGAGCGGGCTTTAAATGTAATCACTAGTATCTCATATAAGAGGGAGGCAAGAAGGTCAAAAAAGGAAGAAATAGATGTGAAGATCAAAAAAGGTGGAGTGATATGAGGGAGGGGTCATGAACCAAGAATGCAGGAGACCTTCAGATGCTAAAAAAGGCAAGGACATGGACTCCCCTCTGGAGTCTCCAGAAGGAACCAGCCCTGCTAACACCCTGACTAATGGCCTCTGGAAGTAAGAATAAATTTGCTTTGTTTTAAGTGACTGAGTTTGTGGTAATTTGTTACAGAAACAATAGGAAATTAATACAATTGCATAAGAGGTTTTTCAGGGGCAGACACGTACACATCATTTTCACTTGCATCCCATTGAACTGAGTCACACAGCCACTCCTATCTCTATGGAGTTTGGGAATGCAATCTCTCTGAGTGACCAGGAAAAAAAACAGAGGAGAGATTGGTGACTCTCTGTCCTGTCTCCTCCGCAGCCCTTCACGGAAGCTTCCAAACCATGAATCCCAACAGCCAGACTGAACATCTTTTAGCACCTCAAGAGCACCATGATGCTGGCCCACACCAGACCTCACTTCAGTCTCCATGTTGTAGAGAACCCTGTAGCAGGTGATGGTAGTTTTTACTCAAATTTCTGAGACCCTCCCATACCAAGTTTATACAAGGCCCTCATTCAGTTAATTGCAGGAGGGGGAAAGCAATATCTTTAATAATTTAGTTTAGCGATGCTGCCTAGATGCCTTTAAAATGAGGATACACATGTTCTGACTTTCGTTTTTAGAAATTACAAGGAAAAGGAAATTATGTGAATAGTAAGGTCGGACAAGTGATTAAAAAATGTGGTTGTAGAATATATAAGAGTTAATATTTCACTACATTTTCTTAATTAGATAGCAGAAAGAAACTTCAAGAGGTCATTTGGCCCAACTCTCTGCTTCTGAGAAGGCCCAGACAGAAATCATCCCAGACGTGAAGATAGGAAAGTGGACCACAGGGCATGATATGTTCTATTCTAAGATCTGTAGGTGTGGAGAAGTTTGTATAGATCTTTTCAAAGTTCTGTCTTGTTGTGGCCACCAGCCCCTGATAGACACACAGACCACCAGAAATCAGTGAGTTATAGGAGGCACACTCTTTATTCAGCCACCAGGGTCTGCCAGGGGTACGCAGACCCCAAATTAAGCAGCTCCGAAATGTAGAGGTACAGGGTTTTTAAGCCCTAAATCCCATTCTTCATTCTGTCTTAAACACAAAGGTCTATTTTTCTTCTATTCACTAACTGTCAACCCACAGGTCAGTTGTGCAAGTGGGGATACAGAAGCAGAAAGCTTATTGTTAGAATGTTATGTTCCCATGGGTGATGACCTATGTTCCCATGGACGATGACTTATGTTCCCATGGGCAATAGCCAAGCAGTAATTAGCTAGCACAGTCTGAGTCCCAAGAACATCTCTACATAGTCAACATACTTAATGCTAATATCTGCTAGGTACTTTACATGTGGAAGACATGCTGGCCTCTGTGAAGGGTCGAGGGTTGGGGACTTTTCTGGGCCTTGATCATATCCCAAGGAAAGCTAAACCTCAAGACTTCTGTCTGTCTGATTGGGCTGAACTGCTATTAGCAAGTGGCAACTCTCTGGACAATTAATCTCAGTGCCCTAATGTTGCAGGAAGTGACACCTGATGGAGGAAATTGGATGCTCAGAAAACTTTGTTAGAGGAAGGAGAATTTATTAGCTGGCAGAGCGTGTGGGGCTTAACAGCACCAAAGCACGAACTCTCCGTGATTAGATTTCTTACAGCTTATATACCCTTGCAGTGTCCATGCAAGGGGTGCATGATTCCTTTGTCTGAGGTTTTGTGTGCACCTCATCACTCAGGATGGGGAGGGGGAGTTTTGGGTGGAGGCTGCAAGGGGAAAGTAATTCCCAGACCACTGGTCCTATCTATTTATAGATCCTTTGTCTTGTAGGTATGGCAATAGTTTCCAGAACGCCATTTAGAGATCTATAGGGTGTGGTTAATCTATAACCGGCTGAGTCGGTCATTTCTGTAAGCCCTTCCCTTTGCATTTTTCAGATGCCTCCTCTCCTCTCTTACTAAAATTGAGCAAGAGCAAGTGTGTCTCCCTATCATCAGTGTGCACCTCAGTGCATTTGACACCTTGAATCCCTCCAGACCTAAATTCTGAAGAAAGAAAATCAAGATCCATTTATCTCTTCATGCCCTCCTCGTCTCTCGTGTACCCTTCTCCTCACAGCCTATCAGAGCTGAAAGGAGGTGGCACAATAGTCTCCCTCTCCATTCTTACCTCACAGCAAGGTCTCAGGGGCAGGCAAGGATATCTTGTTTACATTGTCAGGGTAGCTCTATGTTCTAACTACTCCACCAGCCAAGGGTCCTGCAAACCAGGGCAGGTAACTGCTCTCTCTTGCTCTGGGGCAGTAAACCTCTAGACTCAAGCCAGAGATGGAAAGCTAGGGAACACAATTAGGGACATATTTATATTCAGTGTTTTAATATTTACAAAAACAAGTCTTACTTCACTAAGTAGCAAAGCCAGGACTCAAATGCAGTTTTTTTCTGACTCAAATATTTGTACTTGAAGAAGTCATTCTTTAACTTTTCCGCTTAAAGTCAAGCTTGCTTTATATTTTCCAACTTTTAAATTCCATCGTATTGCGATTTAATTAAAGCTTTGTTGAGGCTCCATTAAGAGCTCCTTACTATGCTCCCGCAGTGGTGGACTTATCCCTGCCCTCAAGAAGATTTAGATCCTTCGGGGCTTCTGCTGGCCCTGGTCCTGCGTTATCCTCATCTTCCACTTTGAACTGTTTGCCTTGTAAATGAATCGTCCTCGAATCTCTTAATTTGAGTGTAACATCTGTTTCCTATTAGAATCTTGACTGATAGGAAATATGCGACTCTACTGCTGGAACTCATGTGGTGGATGGCTACCTGAGTCGTGCGCCCTTTCATAGTGCAGACTTGTCGCTGCCCAGCCCAGGCGTCGCTATCACTTCCCAGACCCCCTAGTGTCAGGACAGGCCACATGACTGAATGTGGGCAAAGAGATGTTTCCGCCAACAGGCCTGGACCACAAAATCTTCCCAAAAGATTCTTATGCTCTCTCTGCTCTCTTTCAATAGCATCTGAGGCTCTAGGGCAGGCATTCTTAATCATTTTGTACTATGGAATAAACTTTTTATTTTGGAATAAATTTAGAGAAGTTGCAAAGATAATGTCTTAATCCATTTGGGCTGCTGTAACAAAGTATCACAGACTGGGTGACTTATAAACAACAGAAATGTATTTATCACAGTTCTGGAGTTGGGCAAAGTCTAAGATCAAGGCATCAGCAGATCCTATGTCTGGTAAGGGCCCACCTCCTCATACACAGCTGTCTTCTCACTATACCCTCACATGAAAGGGTGAGGGATTTCTCTGGGGCCCCTTTCATGAGGACACTAACCCCAATCATTGGAGGCACTAATCTCCTCCCAAGGAACCAACCTCCTAATACCATCACCTTAGGGATTAGAATTTCCACATACGAGCTTGGGTAGGATGTAAACATTCAATCCATTGCAATAGTAGAAAGAATTTCCATGTAAACAGTCTCAGGTTCTGCCAATGTTATCATCTTATGTTACTGAGGTACATTTGCCAAAACTAAGAAACCAATGTTGGTACATCATTATTAACTAAACTCCGGACTTTATTCAGATTTCACCAATTTGTCCATTAATGTCCCCTTTCTATTCCAGGTTCTAGTCCAGGATACCACATTGTATGTAGCTGTTATGTCTCCCGAGTCTCCTTTGGTCTGTGACAGTGTTTTAGTCTTTCCTTTTTTTCATTACTTTGACATGTACTTTTGAGGAATAATGGTCAGATATTATATTGAATTCCAGAATAATGTTTTAAATATATAAGGTAGGATTATAAAGAAAACAAATCATATTGAAATAGAGGTATCAGAATTTTTAAAATTGTGATACAATAATATATGTGCTTTTTTTTTATTAACACATTAAATAACTAAATCTAGTGATGGGTCTAGTAACTATCTTAATTTTGAATTGGTAGTGAGTATAAACATTATTTGTTGATTCCGTAACTGTAATATATAACATGAAAATATCTGTGTTTTCTCTTGGTAGCAAAGTCTTGGGTACTGCTAATGCTGCTGCAGTTTGTTGCCTAAGTAAAAGCTAGAGAAAATAAAGATGCCATTTTTTTTTACCATTCAAGTTTACAAATTCTCTGAATTTTGTGGCTTCCATGACTGTCCTAAAAAGGATGGCAGAACCACAAGGTGAGAAGAGCCTGAGTTCTTGAATATGTGCATACAGCAGTGACTCTACTACCAAAATGCCTCCCCCTGCCGCTCCCCACCCCAGTCATTGCCAAATATATTTGGCATAAGTAAGAAATAAATCATATGGGGTTACACTACTGAGGTTTTGGGTTCATCCCTTAAAGCAGCTGGTGTTATCACAGTTCTGAGGGTTGGCTCTTAAGCGCTAGCTTTTATGTATATATATATGTAATAACTAACAATACAAAAGTACATATATTTGTATTAATTGAAACTTCTTTTTTTTACAAATAACCAAAAGCTTAACCAAAAAAAGGAGACATTACTGCACGAGTACTGGGGTATCTCACTGGATGCAAGGAGAAGTTAAATTATCAGGCTTCTAAGGTTAAAGAAGGTCCAGGGACCTCAGTGGGAATATTATGGGGTGCTTGTCTCTTATGATAGTGACTCAGCTTCCAACTCTGTCTCTGCATATCTATGCTAAAATTCCTAAGCAGAAGAATCAGACTGGCCCAGCCAGCTTGAGTCAAATGTCCTCCTCTGGTCCCATCATCCATGGCTGGAGGTTTACTGTCAATGACAGAAACATGGCTATTGGGGGCCCACTATCTCTAAGTGAGACAGGCAGTTCTAAGATAATGATAACAATATCATTATGATGAACATCTGCCCTTTTGCCATATGCCAGATACTCTCCTGTGTGCTTTATAGGAATTATTTTAAACCTCCTCAAACCCTCTGAGATAAGTACATGCTATTATACTAGTTCAAAGAAGAAATTGAAGAACATAAAAGTTTAGAAGAAAGTTCAAGGCTCGACAATAATTAAATGGCAAAGCCAGGATTTATACTAGGCAGTCTAACTCCAGAGTCTATGTTATTGTCGCCATATAACATATGAGGGAAAGGGCTCAGAAAGACAGCATGGCTCGCCCATAGTTACAGGTTGCAGGGCCAAGAATTAAATATAGGAGACTGTCCCCAGAGCCCGTGTCCTTTCTTAATCTTGAAGGATCGATAAATCAGAGGAGCAAAGACGAGAAGGAAAGTTGGTTAAGGCAGTGAGAACAGAAAAGAACCTTATGCTACCTGTACATACCAAAATCTGAGCAGCTTCTCTCTCTGGGCCATATCATATTTTGTTTCTTTTAACTATAATGAGAGAGAATGTTTAGCACCACAAATCAAAGGGTTTCCTGGACCTGCCATTTTATTTCCTACTGAATGCAACGTCCAAACACTGCTTCGAACCCACTCTTAAAGTGGAGAACTTCATGGGTCTAGACACTCTTGGGCCCAGCTGGGGCTCAGCAACAGTACCAAAGAGACAAACAGAATGGGGTGCACAGGGTCTGTGGTTGATCCTCCATGGGAGTTTCTAGGCCTTTTGCACCAGGAGTTGGAAGGGGTCCTGGATTCCCGAATGTTTCCTTTCTTGGGATTCCTACGCAGAGGTTGAGGCCACTTCACAGGCTTCCTGGGGCTTAACCTCATTAGCCTTTGCAGGAAATATGGCTCTCACCCAGGTACTCTCAGATCTTAAACAGAGAAAAGCTACTCCTAGGAAGATTAAAACAGAAGAGTGAAGCAGGAGGTTTTACAAGCAATACAAGAGATTTGTATACATTACTCATTCTCCTTTATGCAAACATGTAGATATCTTTTCAGAAAAGAATGCAGTAAAAAAAAAAAAAAAAAGAATGCAGTGACCTTTTGGCATATCTTTCTTAAAAACTCTATGTGTACGATCTTAAGGAAGAAATTCCCAAAAGTCACTTCATTCTTTCTTCTTTAAACTGAGATATAACTCACATACCATAAACTTAACCCCTCTGAAGTATACAATTCAGAAGTTTTTATTACATTCACTATGTGCAACCATCACGACTATCTAATTCCAGAACATTTTCACTACCGTAAAAAGAAACCACAACCCATTAGTAGTCACTCCCTATTTTCCCCACATCCTAACTCCTGGTAATCACTGTCTACTTTAGAGATGTATATGTATAAAGGGGCAATTTTCAAATTTTTTTCTTTTCTTTCTCCTTAAAAACACATCAGTTAATGTCTGGCACTTCCATAAATGCTGTTGGGAAAATAGGACAGCTGCATGCAAAAGAATGAAACCGGACCATTATCTTACACCATACACAAAAATTAACTCAAAATGGATTAAAGACTTGAATGCAAGACCTGAAACCATAAAACTCCTGGAAGAAAACATAGGTGTAAGTGCCTTGACATCAGTCTTGGTGATGATTTTTTGGATCTGACACCAAAAGCAGAGGCAACAAAAGCAAAAATAAACAAGTGGGACTACAACAAACTAAAAAGCTTCTGCACAACAAAGGAAACCGTCGACAATGAAAAGGCAACCTACTGAATGGCAGAAAATATTTGCAAATCATATATCTGATAAGGGGTCAATATCCCAAATATATAAAGAATTCATACAACTTAATAGCAACACACACACACACACACACGCACACCAAAAAAAAAAAAAAAAACCAAACCAATTCAATTAAAAAATGGGCAGAGGATTCAAATGACATTTCTCCAAAGAGGACATACAGATGACCAACAAGTACATGAAAAGATGCTCAATATCACTAATCATCAGGGAAATATGAACCCAAATCATGATGAGATATCACCTCATACCTGTTAGAATGATTATTATAAAAAAATAAAAGAAACAAGTGTTGGCAAGAATATAGACAAAAGGGACCCCTTGTGCACTGTTGGTGGGAATGTGAATTGATGCAGCCTCTATGGAAAACAGTCTGAAGGTTACTTAAAAAATTAAAAATAGAACTACCATATGATCCAGCAATTCTACTTCTGAGTATTTATTCAAAGAAAACAAAAACATTAACTCAAAAGGTACATGCACCCCATGTTCATTGCAGCATTATTTACAATAGCCAAGCTATGGAAACAACCTCAGTGTCCATGAATTAATGAATGGGTAAAGAAAATGTGATATAGATGACATATGTATATGAGTATTATTCAGCCATAAAAAACATAATGAAATCTTGCCATTTGCAACAAGGATGGACCTTGAGTTCATTATGATAAGTGAAATAAGTTAGGCAGAGAAAGACCAATACCATATAGTCTCACTTATATGTGGAATCTAAAAAAAAAAAAAAACCAGCAACGACAGAGCTCATAAATACAAAGAACAGAAGAACGGATTGGTAGTGCCAGCAGTGGGGGGTGGGGGGTGGCAAAATAGGTGTAAAGGGGTCGAAAAGAGAAAAATCTGGTAGAGCACATTTGTAACAAATACTTTAGGAAGCATGTTTACAAAAACCTGTTAATAGTCCCACAGAAGTTTTCATTTTTTTAAGCTGAAGTTCCTTATTCAGTGTTGTAAATAAGATTGTGCAATCCAATTACCAAATTGAAATTTTATCCAGGAGAACACACTTGGTGTTGAAAAATTATAAAAGCCATATTTGTCAGCATAGTGAATGTAATTGTCAATGTTAAGGTTAATTACTTGTTAGTTGAGCAAAAGAATAAAAGGACCTAACTTAAAGGTTAATGTGATAATGATTAAGAGAAGACAAGGGATTTCTCAAGTCTTAAATTCAATCTTCAGAAGATGAAAACATACAGTATTGATGACAGTTGTATTGTGAATGGAAGGAGTATCCAAAAAGACTTGAAGTTGCTAAGTTTTTGTTTTTTCGATTAATCACTTTTTTTAGAGACATCTTGAGTCATCAGCATTCTTTGCAGACAAGGACTTTAACTTACATACTGCAAGGAGTCCAATAATTTTGTAAAATCTTTCAAAAATCCTCTTTTTCTACGGTCTTAAAACACACACACACACACACACACTCAGCTTTGTATCAGGTTGCACAAAAGGTGTGTTCATGAAAATCTGAGTAAAAGTGTACTTTTTTTGAAATTAAATATTTTAGATGTTTGAAAGTTTCTGCCTTTAAATAAAATCAGAATGATCTCTAGGTAAATTCTTCTGACAGGTAATGGACAAGTAGGATTCTTAGCATCCTCCACTGTACCTGGAATGCCAGTTAATTCATTATACCAAATATTTTATTTAAAATAATTGTTTGAAAGATTTGTGGTCTTGTTGCTGTTTTTTCTGTATGGCCTGTATCCTTAAGCGAAATAATGAAATATGACAAAAATTGAGAGAACATATATCTAAATAGAGCTCGGTTTCCCTTCTCCTAAAGTATTTTACATCTGGGCTTTTGGAGCTGGAGAATCTTAAAGTTGGGTCCTTATATTAATTTTTCTGACCACTTATGAGTGTCATATTTCAGGCACTTTCTCATATTTCTTCCAGGTTTTATGTCTTGTGTCTCTACTGCAGTTCTGTGAGGAACGAGATCATCAAATCGTCAATATCGAAATGTAACTTAGAAGTAATTTAATATACATGCTGCAATTGTTCTAGGCCTGGAGCAAAAGTAAACTGTTCTCTACATCTCTCTTCAAGAACTCACGTTAAAAATAAGCAAAATAAAATGTGCTAGACTTTAGTTCAATAATCTTCAGCTTCCAAATAAAATTCTTCCAAATAGAATTAGAGGTACTGACTTTAATCAATTATGCTCCATGTGCCCTGGAGCCTGGATTCTGTAAAGATCATGTCACTTCTTCTCTCTGTCCTCAGGCACCATGGTCAAGATCTGCTGGTTCATCATGGGTGCTGATTCTCAGGTCTGAATCCCTGGGAAGTGGGAGTTGATTGTTTCTCTAAGAGTAATTTTAATCTCTGGATTATTAGCCTTTCCACCCTCAATCTGCTGAGACATAACTTTTATTTTTTTGACTTTCTAGATATGGTGTGTGTGTTGCTTGTTTACTTATTGATTTAAATAAAGTGTGGTTTGCTTTTTTTAAAAAAACTCCTAAGTTATGAGGGAGAATCAAGGAGCAATGAGATTGACAAATGTATTTTGTTCATCTGATTTGGTCCATTAACTGAAGTAAAAAACTTTCAATCTAATAACTTACTAGAAAAAAATTTGTGGATATTTATGTAATCTTGGGACAGTCTTGGGTCTTTTTTGCATTATAACTAAAATAGAAGCCTAAAGGAGGAGTAGATTGATGGATCTAAGCACATTAAATTTATTATTCATTCATTAATTTATTATTTATTTATTTGACTCTCTCAAGATGTAATTAAATGCTATTTCATTCCACATCTCTGTACCTCATAGAGCAGTGCTTCTCGAACTTAGATATGCATGCAAGTCAGTTGGAGATCTGGACAAAAGGCAGATCAGCAGTTCTGGGTGGGCCTTAGTGTAGGCATTGCTAACACATTCCCAAGTGATGCTAATGCTTCTGGTTCCCAGCCACATTTGCAGTTGTCAAGTCAGTCTTGAGGTGGCTTCTTCTGTGTGTCCTTAGTTGTAGGAGCCATTCAGCTAGACTTCAAGCGATTCTCAATGATTGTTGTTCTGCAGTTTAGTTGTAATTTTGATGTGGTCGTGAGAGGAGGCAAGCAGTGTTTACCTACTCAGCCATCTTGACCAGAAATCTCTAAGTATATTAAATTTTAAAACTTGTGCGTGTCAACAACATCATAACCTAAAATTAAAAAACAAAGTTAATTTAAAAATATATCTCTATCATACCTACTAAAGGGCTTTTATCCTTAATATTATAAAGAGCTTTCAAAAGCAAGAGTAGAAATATATTTTCTTAGCCTATATTAAGAACAGAAAAAGGTAATTCACAAAAGATGGAATACAAATATCAAATTAATGAGCAAAGAAAAGTTCAAAGCCACCGATTTTTCAAGAAACACATGTTAAAACAATGGGATTACATTTTTACCTTGTAAAAAAATTATTCAATGAATGTTTTCTTTCATAGCTGCTAGATAGTAGGCACTATACTAGGTGTAGAATATCTTTGTAGAAAAATGGTATGAGGGAAAATGGACCCTTCATACAATGTTGCTGGGAGTGTAAATTAGTACAACATTTCTAAAAAGCAATTTGGGAATGTGTACTTAAAATTTTTGACCAAATAATTGCACATATAAAAAATGACTAGGAATAAAAAAAAAAAAAAATGGCGTAGATGATAGAGGCTCTGTTCATCCCTCTGGTGACCAAATCAAAGTTGTAACAGAAACAAGGAGCAACAGCAAGGAAAAATCACCTGGAATCTAGATGAACAAGACATACAACTAGGGAGAAATCCAAGAAAGCACCCTGCAACGGCAGAAGGTAGGATGGGGTGAGGACACGGGGCTGCCCGGTCCAGAGCAGCTGAGTGAGACAGAGGCTGCAGCAGCAGCAGATGCCTCTTAAAGGGGCAGCTAGCGGATTTTCATGATGACGGACTTGCTCGCTCTGAGTACCAATGCCAAGTCAGCTGTGCGCAGGGGGCACCAAGGATTTACAGGGAGATATTGTTGGAGTGAGGACCAAGGCAAGACTCGCTCGGTTCAGAAGTGCTGGCGGTATCCATTGCTCCCTGATGAGTCCTACTCCCACCCAGTGTGCGGACACAGCACCGCCATTGCTATGACATCATCAAACTGGATAACAGAGGTCACTCCTTCCAGAGGATTCCCCGAAACCCCGCCTCCCCCAACTTGTCCCCACCCAAGCCACATCCAGGTGTATTCTCAGTGAGTCAGGTGCTCCTTGCTGAGACTCACACTGGTGGAGGCAGCTGCCCTCGATTTCTGGTGTGGCTTTTGAGGCAACTATAAGCACAGCGTCTGTGGATTTTGCTTGCTGAATCTTAGCAGGTGGTCCTGGAGGGGTAGAGGCTTGGGCTAAATTTGGCCTGCAGCTGAACCCCTCTTAGGATTGTGCCATTGGACATCTACTTCACAAATCCATACTAATAAGACTGGGAGACTTAGGGGCTTCGCTTAATACCTAGAAACAGACATGGAAAGGCATCCAAAATGGGAAGACAAAGAAGCAGAAACCATATGAGAGTACAGAACAGAGATCCAGATATAATGGAGTCAAGTAATCTAACAGATGCAGAGTTCAAAACATAGGTTATAAAGATGCTCAATGAACTTTTGAGAAGTGTA